GGCCCAAGGAGGAGGAGAAAAGGAGTTGTGAGGCATGAAAGAATGTGCATCTGCGCTGAGGTATTCAGGGTCACTGAGCAATACAGAAGCATACGGGGTATCATGAGGAGACTAGGTTTAGCCACAGGAGGTGTGAATGTAAACTGACTTGTAGGAGGGACATACATGGACATGCTTTGGTGGTTTTGGGGGGAGATTGATGGAGGAAGAGAAATGGTATTTATTCTGGGACTTTTTGATGATAGCTTAGAAGTTTTTGGAATAACTCCAAGGAAGAGTTTAAGATAGAAGCTGATAGAAAGAAATCTTGGTTCACAGCCTCTGAAAACCATTATACTGTCATGTATACAATAGATTTGTTCCTGGAACAGCTGTTTGTAAATTACATCAGTATTTAAATGCATCCATTGACCACCTGGGTAGCTCAGTCAGTTAAGTTGCTACCTTCGGCTCAGGTCATGATCCCGGGGTCCTGAGATCAAGCCCCATATCAGGCTGTCTGCTCAGTGGGGAGCCTACTTCTCCCTCTCCCTCTGCTGCTCCCCCGCTCGTGCTTTCTCGCTTGCGCGCTCTCTCTCTCAAACAAAATCTTTAAAAAAGAAAAAATGTAAATGCATCCTGAGTGAGGGTAACTTAAAGGAAAGCTATGGTGAATCCTTCTGTCAAGTTAAGAATCACCCTAACTTATTTGTTTTGAAATTCCAGCAGGTTTTTAGTTTTATTGTTTAGTATCACAGCTCTCTGATCTACATAGGTGTGTGCTGAGTGAACAATCCTCATGTTCCATCGTACCTAGTTCAGATTCTCCCCAGTTTACAGGAAATCGAGTAACCTCTTTGACTTCTTTGCAGATGTTATCTGAAAATGGCTTGTTTACCAGGAAACTGTGCATTCACCCTTTAAAACAGAACTTTCATTTGTATGCCTTGGTACACCCTCCATAGCTCCATCCATCTTTTTTCCTTACCTTTGTTCGGCACCTTCTGACTAGTTGGTGCCCCGTGAGGGTGGTTACAGGTTGACCATGGTTCCCTGCCGCACAACACTATGTGGGAGGAAGGAAATTTGTGTGGTTAATGCATGGGAGGTATTGCGACTTCTTGTCTTTACTACTCACCAAGGGCGGTTTCCAAATCAGATTGTGCCTTTCAATTCTCAGTCTTTGAAACATTAAGTAATAAATATGTGTATTTATTTTCTTGCTTATTAAAGACCAGACTACTGAAATGGATGGTCCAGGACAGATGTGTAAACTGAGCTTAACGTACATTAGAAATCATGTAGTTTTGTCTCCCCAACAAAGGAAGGACACCTTTTAAGATATCCTGGCCCTATGGGCCCTTTGTCCATTAAATTTACTCATTTCTTTGTAAGACACTCTAGGGAGAAAGCCTTTTTTTTTTTTTTTAAGATTTTATTTATTTGTTTGACAGAGAGAAACACAGGGAGAGAGGAAACACAAGCAGGGGGAGTGAGAGAGGGAGAAGCAGGCTCCCCACTGAGCAGGCAGCCTGATTCGGGGCTCCATCCTAGGACTCTGGGATCCTGACCTGAGTCAAAGGCAGACACTTAACCGACCAAGCCACCCAGATGTCCCAAGGGAGAAAGCCTTTTAATTTCCATCACTCTTGTCTCTTTGTATAATAGGAGAGAATGTTTGCCATGGTCAGTTTATAAGCACTGCCATGGTGCAAGACACTGCACTCTGTCTGACATTGTCCCTTCAGTAAGAGGCTCATGTGGCAGACGATCAGCTTGGGAGGTGCATTAAGAATCATGGCGGGGGGGGGGGGTGTCTGGCTGGCTGAGTTGGTGGAGTGTGTGACTTTTTTCTTAAGTTTTATTTATTTATTTGAGAAAGAGAGCATGAGCGGGGGTGAGGGGCAGTGGGGATCAGGGACAAAGGGAGAAGCAGACTCCCCACTGAACAGGGAGCCCAATGCGGGGCTCAGGATCATGACCTGAGCCCAAGACCGATGCTTAACCGACTGAGCCACCCAGGTATCCCAGCGTGTGACTCTTGGTCTCGGAGTTAGGATTTTAAGCTCTGTGTTGGGCATAGAGATCAATTAAAAATAAAATCTTAAAAAAAAAATCACTAGAAAATAACTATGTGAGGTGACAGATGTATTAGGTAAACAGAGGTAATCACTTCACAGTGTGTATGTGTATTAAATTATCACATGGTGACGCTATAAATGTATAGAACTTCATTTGTCAAGCATACTTCCATAAAGGTGGAAGGAAAAAAAAAATCACTAGATTAACGAAAACATGGGGATTTTAAAGCCCAAGGAAACCTACATTTGTCTTCTGGTTCCGCCATTTTACAATGGGGAAAAAAAAGATTGGTCTCAGAGAGGTTAAGTAGTTTATTCAAGGTAATTTGGGGGACTTTTTGCAAATTACTTCATTTTCTTCACTGTGACATAGATCTAACTAATCTCTAACTCATTTGGTCATTTTGAAGGTTAGGGATCAAAACACCAGGCACATAAAAAGCCGTCAGTAAATTTCTGCCGTAGTAGCTTTTATTACAGTGATGATACACAGTTATCCAATAAATACATGTGGAACGCTCTCCATGCCCTGTGCACCAGGCACAGTGCTGGGTGTCGGGTAAACCGGTGACTAAGACAAACAAGGTCCTTGGTCTCATGAAGCTTCTGTTTTAGTGGGTGAGACAGACAAGAAAACCCAGGGATTTCAGATTGTTAGTGCAGTGAAGACCACAAAGTGGGGTGAATGTAATCGAGAAGTGGGGGTGGGGGATAGCTGGTTTAGAGACGTTTCCCAGAGAAGCTAGAGACCTAGATGATGAGAAAGAAAGAGGCTGCCGTAAAACAGTGGGGGGTAAGAGGGGAAATCCGGCAGAGGACTCGTAAGTAGGAAAGTAGAAAATAGGTTGGCTTCCGAAAAGATGGCCAGTGTAGATGGAGCAAGGAGGATGGGAGGGGACGAGGTTAGAGAGGTCAGTTTGTGTAAGACCTGACTGCTGAGGAGTGTAGATTTTATTCAAAGTACAATAGGTTAGTCAAGGGTTTTAACCAGAGCAGTGGTACAGATTAATTTATGTTTTATTTGATTTTATTTATTTACTTTTAGAGTGTGAGTGGAGGGGAGGGGAGAGGGAGAGAGAGAGAATCTCAAGCAGACTCCCCACTGAGCGTGGAGCCCATGGCAGGGCTCCATCTCACAACCCTGAGATCATGACCTGAGCCAGAATTGTAAGTGGGATGCTCAACCAGCTGAGCCACCCAGGCAGCCTGGATTAATTTATGTTTTAAAGAAACATTGGGCTGCTGGTTGGAAGCAAGGACACCAGTTTGCAGGCTGTAACATAGTTTCGTCACAGCTGACGGTGGCTTGGGTTAAGATCCATGGCACTGACGATGTGGAGACTGGGAAAAGCAGAACTGGCAGGACTTGCAGAGAAGTTGCACGTGGAAACTGAGGAAGAAAAGAGGGATTCGGGAGGCATTGCTAAGTTTTTGTTCTGAGTAACTGGATACATGGGGACAGACTGAGAAGGGACGACACGGGTCTCATGCTGGAGTAGATTTTGTTTCTGAGGAATCTGGGACATGTTAAGTTGGAGATGGCTAGAAGACATCCACATTTTAAAGCCCATTTAGCTACAAATCCTCCATTCTTCAGATTTATATTCCCTTCTTTTGTTGTTACAGCTTTTTTTTCTTTTTTATCACACATAAACTTTGAAAATCAGAATCTTTGTATCTAGAAATTGTGACCCTAAGTCTCTCGTGGCTAAAGAATGGCATTGGGAGCCTTAAACGCAATGCTGTGAATTTGCCTGCCAAAGTGAGAGCGCTCATCCCATTTTCTGTCTTTACAGTGTCCTTTCAAACAACATATACTACGGGTTCCAGAACTATTACTTCTTCTATACTATGCTAACTTGGCATCAACATAAAGAACTAATGAATAGGAAAGTTCTCCCTTGGTAAACATTTTAAATTCTTTTTTGAGAGGCTCTACTCTCTTTACTAAAGATTTTCTAGGGTTTCTCCACACCCTCAAATGTAATAGGTATGCAATAAATGTTTATTCATTTTGGATTTTGGTTTTGGTATCTTTCTGGACTGGTTTCACATACCTATTTTACCTTATATACTGTTTTTGTCCTGGAAAGGTTAGTATCTCTGAGGTACTAAGATTGCTATTATTGGACTAACTCCTCTTCAACTATAATCTTGTTTTGTTCCTTTGGCTTGGTGGCTTATGGAGGAAAAAGTTAGGAGATCATATTCAGGATAGATGAGGAAAGAAAATAAAACTAGGTACAGGGAATTACATTTTACAAGTTTTTGGTTTTTTTTTTTTAAGATTTTATTTATTTGAGAGAGAGAGAAAGAGAGCATGAGAGGAGAGAGGTCAGTGGGAGAAGCAAACTCCCTGCCGAGCAGGGAGCCCGATGTGGGACTTGATCCCGGGACTCCAGGATCATGACCTGAGCCGAAGACAGTTGCCCAACCAACTGAGCCACACAGGTGCCCCTTACATTTTACAAGTTTTAACGATCTTTTCTTCTTCCTTCCTAGAAGCCAGCTAACCCAGTTTTATATATTACGTAGAGTTTCCTAACTCTACATAACGTAGAGTTTCCTAACCTTGGTTTCTTTTGTGTCGGTTATGTGTTGCCTCATAATAAATTACCTGAAAACCCAAAGCTTAGTATAAAAACCATTTATTACTTCACACAGTTTCTGAGGCTAGGAACCTGGAAATGGCTTAGTTGGCTGGTTTTGGCTCTGGTTTTGGCCTCTGATGAGGTGGGGGCAAGCTGTTGGGGCAGAGCTTCAGCTGTCTGGTCTGACTAGAGTTGAACCGTCTACTTCCTGGGTGGTTCACTTACATGGCCACTGGCAGGAGGCCCAGGTTTCTTCCCTTATCACTCAGGCCTCCCACAGGGCTGCTTGAGTGTCCTAATGACATGGCAGCAGGCTTCTGCAGAGGGAGTAATTGAGAGGGAGATAGCGGTGGGGGTGAAGGGGAAGCAGTGAGAAGGTAGTTCCATAATTGACTTGGGATTTTCTTTAAAGCTGTCCCAAGCTTTGGTGCTGATAGTCATTTTTCAGATGAGAAAAATTTTTTCATAAAAAAATTTTTCATATGTTGCATTTATATCCTGCTGTTCTCTTTCTGTGCCTTTCTGTGTACGGAGTGATTTTCATTTGAATGCTAAGTCACAGCTCTGAAATAAATGTGTCTTGAAGACATTTTCAGTGGCCACCCCTTGCAACAGTGCTCCTAAGTCCGTTGAAGTGCCAGCCACGTGAGCGTTTATGACCGAGTACTTGAAGAGCTGGCGCTGAGAGCCCCGTTCTGGCTACTGTCTAGCAGACGTCGCTCATAAGGTGCATCCTGATTTCAGAGGGGTTAGAATATAAAAAAAATATTTCTAAGAATTGAAGAAAGATGACAAACAGTTTTCTCCCCAGCCATGGGGCGTATAGTAGATCAAAGTCTTCTGGGGATGAATTTCTTTCCTCTTGGTTTTACAAAGCCTGGAACTCGCAGATGCATAATCTGATGGGGAAGGAGATATGAATGGGCAGTTTACAACTAGGATGAATATACAGGTTATTTCCAAAATGCTTTTTGGTTTTTTTGGTTTCAGAAATATAAACAAGGAAAACCTCTTTTCTGTGACTTTATTTAATCTTTTTTTTTTTTTTTAAAGGAATAAAGATCACTGTCAACCCAGAGTCAAAGGCAGTTTTGGCTGGACAGTTTGTCAAACTGTGTTGCCGGGCAACTGGACATCCGTTTGTACAATATCAATGGTTTAAAATGAATAAAGAGGTAACTTTTTAAATGTATTTTACTTCCCTTGTCATAAGAGAGAATGATAACAAATTATTTAACATCATTATCCTCAGTGTGTTTTTTGGAATTTTGATCTGATAGACTTGGCTGTGTTATTGCTGAAGTAGTCAATAACCATTATTTTGGTAAGGCAGTTCTGAAAGTTGTCTTATAAAAAAATGGTAAGCAGGGCACCTGGGTGGCCCAGTCCATTAAGCATCTGCCTTCGGCTCAGGTCATGATCTCATGGTCCTGGGATTGAGCCCCACATCGGGCTCCCAGCTCAGCAGGGAGTCTGCCTCTCTCCCTGTCCCTGCTCATGTGCTCTCTTTCTCTCTGTCACTCTCTCAAATAAATAAAATCTTTTTTAAAAATTGGTAAGCAGTGATAAAATCGATTCTCTAAACTCTAGAAATTATGGAAAATCAGGATTATTTAGAACAACAGTGTTAACAAATAGTATCTATCACCAATACATTCTAACATACACAAAAATCCTTAACAAAAAATTATGTTCCAACCAAAATCTCTCTCTTTTTTTTTCTTTTTGAACAATGACTTTATTTTCTTTGGTGGTGTGTGCCCTCTAGTCTCAGAACTTCCGGAATTGCTCTTTGGTGCCAGCAGCCTGGGTCACTTTGAGCACTCTGAAGCACACAGTCTTGCTCCAGGGCCGACACTCACCCACTGTGACAGTATTGCCCATCTGGACATCCCTGAAGCAGGGGGACAGGTGTACAGACATATTCTAGTGGTCTTCCTCCAAGCAATTATACTTTCATATGGGGTAGAGGACATCTCGGTGGATGACAGTGGTTTTCTGTATCTTCATCTTGATCACACTAGACAGAATCTGCCCTCGGATAGAGACATTACCAGTGAAAGGGCATTTCTTGTCAGTGTAGGACTATCAATGACCTCCTTAGGGATCTTGAAACCTATACCAAAGTTTTTATGGTATTGTAAGAGCTTCTGTTTGCCAATTCTCCAAGCAAGTTCCTCTTCTTATTTTGAAAGGTAGTTGGCTGCTTTGGGTAAGCACCCTCAATATCAATGTCCACCATCTTCCCAACCACCTGGAAAAAGAAAACCAAAATCTTTAATTAAAAGATTTTTAAGGTGCCATGGAAGGCTAATGGAAGATTCCACTTAACTATTATATCAAAAGATTTAGGCTATTGTGGTAGATTCCAAAGTAAAATTCAGGCTGGTGGAGGGGAGCATTATTCTTTTACCACCCAACAAATAATTTAAAATCCCATACTGGAATTCTTTTTTCTTATAAGTTCTTTGAGCTACTCTGCATACTGAGTGTTTCCCACTGGCTCTCCCGTGTTGTGTCTCACTTTGGTGGGCTTCTCTCTTCTCCCACTCCACCTGCCCCTAACCCCCTCCCTCCTAGACTGTACCTTGAAACCCCATACTTTTTTCATCCTGTTAGTCAAATAACTAAGCTTTCATCCAAACTCAGTGCTAAGTCTACATTTGCAAACCTGAAACTAAGTTAAAGAGCCATTCTAAGATCATGATCTTTCCTTTAATGGGATCATCCCATGCCTTAGAAGAAATGTGTGGTCTTATATTTTTTTATTTCCATCCCTTATACACAGGTAAGGGAGAGCAGCTGAACTGTAGTAAAAGGTTGCATGTAGGCTTTGGTGCTAGCCAGGCCTGTGTTAGAACCCTGAGTGTCATTCTTTGTAATATGAATTCCTATCATCCAGGATTATAAGAAGTTAAGGCAGGATGTTTCATGTACCTAGGTTTTCAGGAGATGGTAACTAAAGTTATTTATAACATGTTCTCAATTGCAGAGTTGCTTTTATCTTAATAAATGCCTTTCAAAAAGGAAGAAGTAACAGATAAAACTTGCTATATTAAGCATATCATTTGTAAAATGTGCCCTGATTTGAGAAAGGTAAAAATGTCGGGGGTGGGAGTACTTCTTAGATTTGAAGAGTTGTAATAGATTTTATATATTTATTTATTTATTTTTAAAGATTTTATTTATTTATTTGAGAGAGAGAGAGATCACAAGTAGGCAGAGCAGCAGGCAGAGAGAGAGGAAGGGAAGCAGGCTCCCCGCTGAGCAGAGAGCCCGATGCGGGGCCTTATCCCAGGACCCTGAGATCATGACCTGAGCTGAAGACAGATGCTTAACCTACTGAGCCACCCAGGCGCCCCAAGAGTTGTAATAGATTTTAAAGCACTCACTATGTCGAGTTTTGTCAGACTACCTTTATGGCCATAGGGTTATTTTAAGATGTATTCATTTAACAAGTACTTGATGAGCGCCTGTTTTGTGCAAGGCCTTGATCTAAGGCCATGGTGAGGAAACACTGACACACAGCGTCCTGTCCTCCCACCTCAGTGGGGAGAGACAGCAAACAAATAGGAGAATCCTTTGAGTTAAGAACTATGAGGAAAATCAGCCGAGTGATCTAAAGTTAGAAGCCACTAACTGTCTTAAGCAGGAGAAGTAACATGATAGGATTTATGTGTTTAAGACACAAAGCTGCTGCTTGGAGGAGAAGCAAGAGAAAGCAGAAAGACCAGTTAGCTCATGCCTTTGCTAGACTGGAAATAGTGGCAGGGTGATGGAGAAGGAGCAGAGTGTTTGATCAGGTGATTGTGGTGGGGGAGTGGACCACACCTGACTGGTTAGAGGTGGAGCATGAAGAAAAGGAAGAGGGATCAAGGATGATGCCTGGATTTTTTACAGAAGCATCTGGGGGAGTATCATGTCCTGAGGTGTTGAAGATTGGGAAAGAAATGATTTAAGGAGAAAATTCAAGGATTTCGTTTTAGGTGCATTAAGTTCAAAATGCCCTCTAGACAGCTCCATGAATCAGATGGGATATCCGGAGAGCCTTTGAAAGTTTATGTTACGGAAAACAAACCAGTAAAGAGACTAAGAAGAACCTGTAAGAGAGATGGGAGGAAATCCGGCAGAGAATGGTATAAAGCCTAAAAGGAAAAGTATTTCAAGAAAAAAAGGGTAGTTAGCATCTCCAGTGCTGCTGAGAGGAGAGGGTGCGAGTCAAGGAAGGCTTGTTTGGGTTTTTTACTTACTTAAGATACAAAGGACTAGAGTTTGTTTTCGAGAGTGATGCAATAAAAGAGAAATAGATGGTAAAGCGGAGAGAAAATTGCAGGAGCCAGGTCAGAGAGGGTGGGATTGACAAGAGAGGAAAAAGCTTTCCCCTGCCCTCTTATGTTCATTCTGTGGGTGCCTGTGACTTAACTGACAAAATACAGATTGACAAGAGAAAAAGTTCATTCGTATGGGAACTTCCAAAGGAAGTAGCTCCATGACTGGTTAAAGTTAGAGCCTTCCATACCTAATTTAGTAGGAAAAAGGGAGGAGGGAGAAAGGCCCCTATGAGAGGAACAGACGGGTTTCTTTAAGAAATGAAAAGGGGTTTCTGGAAGAATAAACAGGAGATAAGGTTTGACGGGATTATTCATGCAGGGCAAGTGGTCTTCCCGTCTTCATCACGGCCATAAAACCCTCCTGGAGAGGGGATTTGTAGTAGGTTTATTCTTGGTGGATAAAGCCACCCTGAAGAAGGAATTTATGGTAGCCTCATTTCCCAGAAGTGTTTAGTTTTAGTCAGACAGGGGAGTCTCTGAGAAGGCTGCTTTCTACACCTTTCTGATAGAGAAATTACCAGTTGATCCCAGATGTCTGCAGCTTGAACTAGTCTGCATACCAGGTCTGAGGTTCTGAGTGGATCCCCACAGATCCTAAGCCCACGTAGCCTTTGCTAGGAAGACGCATTTTCCATTTTAACGGAGAGAAGAGAGCAGTTACAAGGAGATACATAGATAGCTTTGTGACTTGGTGGCAGGAAGAGGAGAATTTCTCTCTGAAGTCGGTGGCTATGAGAAGCAGGATTGATTGTATTAGGTTTGAGGAGAGACAAAACAGAGGAGAGACATTAACAGTCTGGGGGAAAGCAGACTTAGTACATTAACGTGGTGTCAAGGGTGGCCTGCCATCCTAGTTGTCAAATCTTCGCAGAAGACTATTGCTTTGGTGCAGGTTCTGAGTGGCTGAGAGTGGAATTCAGTTGGTCGGGGTTTGGAGCGAGAGGGATGCTCTTGAAAGGGAGCTCCTGTAATCAAAGAAGGCACTCGACTAAGCCCCTTGGCAGTGTGCCAGAAGCAGGTGGAATTTACAAATTGATGAGAGCAGCAAAGGTGAAAAACCCTTATGTGGTGACCAGAGCCCTGGTGGAGAGCTTGGGAAACCCTTGGGTGACCATTTCTTCCCATCACTGACGTGTTGTCCATAGCCCTTCTCAGCCCAGACCCTGAAAGAAGAGTGGTGGTTCAGTAGTCTGTCCTCTTATGGAATTTTGCAGATGAGAAAATGGGGTCTCAAGGTCAAATAACTTGCTTATGTACTCACAGCTAATTGGGCCAGAACTGAAATGAATAACCAGGCCTAACTTTCTATGTTACTTATAAATTTGCCATCGTAGATTCTTTAAATACCAATGATTTGAACAGTTTTAAATGACGGAACAGGTACTTTTCTGTTAGTTTTTGGAAGATCTGTGGGAGAGAGCTTACTTAACTTTCCAGTTAATGGATTTGTAAGAGTGTGGATTTCTAAGACTTCAGTCTTAAATTATTCAAAATGTTTGTTTTTTTTTTTAAGTAAAAAATATTTTAGAACTGGGGGGAAAATATGCTTTTCAGGTCTCCAGAGAAATCGACATTTTTTTGCACGGCACATTTTTACAAGTCGTGTTGTTTTGATGAGTCATTCATTTACATTCTCTTGCTGATTCTTTTGCAGATTCCAAACGGAAATGCATCAGAACTTATTTTTAACACAGTGCATGTAAAAGATGCAGGCTTTTATGTCTGTCGGGTTAATAATAATTTCACCTTTGAATTCAGCCAGTGGTCACAACTGGATGTTTGTGATATCACTGAAGTAACAGGAAGCTTCCAGGGTAAGTGGTAAATTAAGTTGAATATTGGAGTAGGAATTGCCTTATTTTGTTTTGAATGTTTACTTGAATTTCACAGTATCACAAATGGGACCGGAAGCTCACGTACGTACTTAATCACCAGTAGAAGATCACCATCTGTTCCGACTTCATCCCATGTGCTATGATCCCTTCTCTGCAGACATCTACACATGCAGATGTCTTAGGCCAGACCTGCTGCTGGCCTCTGGGAACATCCCTCGTGTTTCTTTCTATGCTGTATGTCTTTTTCCCAACTGTTGTATCACTCTGGCAAGATCGTGTTGTGGAATAAAACCTCTGAAGTTGCCTTTGACATGAAAGGACAGGTAGTGTACCATTGCCTTCAATAAAGCATTTCACCATACTGGTTTTCTCCTCTCTCTCATCCATCTTTTTGGGCCAGTAACTACTACTGATTTAAAAAATATACCTGTTCTAAAGAGTAGCTATCAGATGTTATTTTCTGTATTCACACTCACAGTCGAGACCTATATTCTTTGTTATTTTGGCAGACAGAAAGAATAGGTGGGAAACAAACTTTCTGTTAGCTCTCTATCTCCATTCTTCTTTCTCAGTTTAGCTCTTCTACACCTAAATAAATAATCTCTAAAAATAGTCATTTTTAGGTGCACCTGGGTGGCTCAGTGGGTTAAGCCTCTGCCTTCAGCTAAGGTCATGATCTCAGAGTCCTGGCATCAAGCCTCTCATCAGGCTCTCTGCTCAGCGGGGAGCCTGCTTCCCCCTCTCTCTCTGCCTACTTGTGATCTCTCTCTCTCTCTCTCTGTCAAATAAATAAATAAAATCTTTTTTTAAAAATAGTCATTTTTAAACAAGGGAATTATTTATATCTTTCTAGAATATTTCTCTGTGTGTAATGAACATTAATATGTTTATAAATTAAATCCTGTTCATTTAGCAAAGACTGGTTACCTGCACTGTGTGAGACCCTGAGTTTCGTGATAGAGACTTAATATTGTGTTAACACTGACAAGTCCTGCTTCTTCGAGAACCTTAGAGCAACACATGAGTGTTCAGTAAATAACACTTTCTGGGGACGTCTGGGTGGCTCAGTCAGTTAAGCATTGGACCCTTGATTTTGGCTCAGGTCATGATCTCAGGGTTATGAGACTGAACCCTGTGTTGGGCTCTGCACTGAGCATGGAGTCTGTTTAAGATTCTCTCTCCCCTTCTCCTCTCCCACCCTCCATGGATGCACACACACACATGCTCTCTCTGACTCGCTAACTCTCTCTTTAAAATAAATAAATCTTTAAAAAATATAGTAATAATGCTTTCTGGTGTCTGCTTCAGGAAGAAGTGCTAGTGGTCATCCATCCGTATTTATTTCATGCAAATAGCAAAACTCCTTCTTTTAATGTGTTAAATCACACGGCAGAATGTAGAACTTCCCGTGTTGAATGTGAACATCACTCAAGATGTTAATAAGTTGTTTGCCCCCACCAAGAATCTGTGGCCAAACACGTGTGGAAACCACCTGAACTATTTTGTCCTTTTAAATACACCCAAAACAGGGCTCCTGGGTGGCTCAGTTGGTTAAGCCACTGCTTTCGGCTCAGGTCATGATCCCAAAGTCCGGGGATCGAGTCCCGCATCGGGCTTCCAGCTCCACAGGGAGTCTGCTTCTCCCTCTGATCTTTGCCCCTCTCATGCTCTCTCTCATTCTGTCTCTCTCTGAAATAAATAAATAAAATCTTAAAAAAAAAAAATTAAATACACCAAAGCATACTAACACTTAAAGCCCTGAGAAGCCTTAAAAAAACAGAAGGAGAAAACCCTGAGAAGTCCTGCAATAAAAAAATCTGTTTAACTTTGTTTAACCCAGAATTTTCTAAACGTACTTGTCTGCAGCATCCTTTTATCCACAGCACATCTAGTATTTTTAAAAGTGTCACACTTCCATGAAACATAGTTTTAGGAGGTAATGTTAAGGATAATAAAAAATATTAGCTTGAAAACACCTTTTTTGGTTTTTTTGTTTGTTTTAGCTGAAGGAGAGAAATTTTTCTTACTAACCTAGAAATTTTATTTATGTTCATTGATTTTTTTTTTTTTTTTAATTTAAGGAAGTGTGGATGGCGTCTCTGAATCCAGGTTGCAAATCTGCGTTGAACCAAGGTCCCAAAAGCTGACGCCCGGCAACACGTTGGTCTTACAGTGTGTTGCTGTCGGAAGCCCCATTCCTCACTACCAGTGGTTCAAAAATGAATCACCATTACTACATGAGACCAAAAAGCTATACATGGTAAGAAGTTGGTCATTTGGGTATTTTTTGTGTTGATATATAAAATAAGTAGTATAATTGAAAATTAAGACAAACATTAAATTTCATATTCGTTGGGGTATTTTAATGTTTACCTTATTTTCAGTTCTAGTCTCTTGTTATTCAGTATTAACTCATCCTTATATTCACAAAAGTTCTGGAATAAAACACTAGCCCACATGTAAGGGCTTACAGTAAAATGTCAGATGGGGCACCTGGCTGGCTCAGTCCGTGGAGTGTGTAGCTCTTCATTATGAGGTTATGAGTTTAAGGCCTGTGCTGGGTGGAGAGAGGACTCCAAAATAAAATCCTTAAAATGTCCAGTAGTACTACACCTAACTCACCATTATTAGAATCATTGTATCATTTGCCTGCTAATGTTTAATCTAATAAATGGAAATAATCTAATGTCTAAAGTCCACTAAAAGGTTCTAGGTTTTTTTCCTAATTCAAAATAAGTTTCTCTCCAAGCCAGTTAAAATTAAATTGAAAGCAAATGTGTGTGTGTGTATGTGTGTTCTGATATTGATAACAGGTACCTTATGTGGATCTGGAACATCAGGGAACCTACTGGTGTCATGTATATAATGATCGAGACAGTCAAGATAGCAAGAAGGTAGAAATCATCATAGGTAAGCCATCTTACTCAGTGTTCTGTCAAGTGGAGTATAAGGTACATAAAATGAAACATTAAAGCAATGGAAATTCTGCTTTTTATCCCATTCTATTTAGTGTCATGTTAAATAGCCAGTTATCTTTTTTATATAGAAATTTGAGAGAATACGTACTGAACTCACATTCATAAACATTTGTGGCAAAAAAAGTTTTAAAACTTTAGTTACAAAAAACTTGATTTAAGTGGGAAAAGATTCTTATTAAAGCACTTTTAAGGGGTGCCTGGGTGGCTCAGAGGGTTAAGGCCTCTGCCTTCGGCTCAGGTCATGATCCCAGGGTCCTGGGATCGAGCCCCGCATCGGGCTCTCTACTTGGCAGGGAGCCTGCTTCCTCCTCTCTCTCTGCCTGCCTTTCTGCCTACTTGTGGTCTCTGTCTGTCAAATAAAATAAATAAAATCTTTAAAAAAAATTAAAATTTAAAAAAAAACACTTTTAAAAACCAAGCATCACAGACATGGAAAGGAAAGAATGATCATTCACTAACAGTCCCATTATAAAGTTCATAATGTGGGAGTTTGCTCTGTTTAAGCCTAATGCATTTATAGTTCGGTTGTCAGCAGTAGGAGGGTTGATGCATATGTTGGTTTGCCAACATATTTCTATGACATTCGTTTCTTTGTTTACCTGATGGCTGCCGTTCCTAAGATCATGAATTACAGTATGTTCACATTTGTTTTCTCTGGAACAAGGAAGAACAGATGAGGCAGTGGAGTGCACTGAAGGTAGTGTAATCCTTTGATTTGAAACCACATATCCTGCATGCTGGTTCCCTGGGGATTGGTGGTGGTCTAGCCTGCTGCGCGCAGTGATGGAAAAAATACTAGCTATAAGAAAGTAATTTCACTGAGTCTCAGGATTTGTAAATTGCCAGGGATGCTGTTAAACCAACACATTAATAAAGTATCTAATTTTCCATTGACTTTCTATTGCAAATAAGAATAGCATTTCTGTACATCTTATGAATAGAGAAATTTTACAATTTATTCTTAATGTTAATTTTTATCTTTATAAAATTTGTTTAAAAAAATGGAAAGCTGTACTATCATGGATAATCATTTAAGATTTTAGCCACCCTTTTAGCCACCATTATATGCTGTTCAAATGCGAATGTGGCTTCTTTGAGAGTTTCAGGACAGGCAATTTCTTGTTAAACATATGTTTTATCAAGTACCTAATATTACTATTTCAGCATGAAATTAGTAACCATTTTTCGAAACTACAAGTCTATAGATTAATCTACTGTATCATCTTTACAATAATATATATAAAGAACTGGAAAATTGTTTCAACATAAGCTTTTAAATTTGTTTTAATTACTCAAAGATTGTACATAAGTTTTAATGAGTAAATTTTAATACTTAAGTTACCTTCCCTTAATACATCACATTGTTTTACAGAATTTGATTTGTAGATAGCAAAGTATTTTTTCAATTTCTGCTTCTTTAAAATATTACATAATCTTGGGGTCTACTTGGGTAAAGTAAAAAAAAAAAGTTAAATCTTTTGTTTCCTGGGTTTTCCTGTCTTTTGTATCTGTATGGTGTCACACTGATATACTGTCATTACTGTTTTTGTCCTAATGCATACTTTTGAACAGGAATTCTCTAGCGTAAAGGGGATTCCAATCCTGTTGTCTATAGAGGCCTTACAGGAGGGAGGCTATGTGAAGAAATCCTAACAAGCTCCTCTAACTTCTCTTACTTCGTTTTTGCCTAATTGCATGATTTTTAAACTTTCCAAAGTTGGGTATTTCTAAGAACAAATACAAACTAGCACTGCTGTTTGGCTTCAGGGTGATGCATGGAAATTACTGCCTTGCTGTGCTATTTCTTCACCTGATTTTCTCTCTAGTTTTTACAGTAGCAAACACACTGTCAAATTCTAATTTTCACATCAACCTTTCAGCCCGCTTAGAGATGAAGATCCAACTATGAAACTACTTCTCAAATGGGAGAATTAGAGCCAACTTTTCTTTCTAAAAAAGTGTAAAATTTGAGATGTTTTATAATTAATGGATTGACGCATACCATTTACAGTGTCCTATAGCATATCTTTTTTTTTTAACCTGCAGAACATATTACTTATTTCACTTTGTGTATTTTGTTAAAGATATTTGGCCAGGACAAAAGATGGGGATTAAATAAGTGAAGCTCAGGAGTTTTTTTTGGGCAGTAAAACTATTCTGTATGATCATTATAATGGTGAATACATGTATGCAAGTCATTTAGTAGGAGGTCAGGGGAGGGGGGATTCCCAGGATGGAATGCAGAATGTGACCAAAGAATCTAAATGCGTTACAAATGTATGCAGCAGCGTCAGTGAAGAGGGGAAGGAAGAATAAGGTGCTGACCTAAGTAACTAGAAATGAATGCAGTCTATGAGAAAAGAGGCCAGAGAAATTGTACGGAGCCCTGTACAATTTGATGATGCTCTTCCGTTGACTTTACATAGCAGATAAGAATAAGTTCCTCTGTGACATCTTAGCAACAGCATAATATTTCTAATTTATTGTTAGTGTTAATTTGCATCTTAAGATTTGTAAAGGAAAAAGAGATGGCTGTAGTGTCATGGGTATTTGCTTAGATGATTTTATCTGTCCTTTAGCCGGAGAGTACGGGTTAATGATTCTGAAACCACTGTACCTCCAAACACACATTCCACCAGTCTGAGCATGAGAAAAGCATCAACTAATCCAAAGTGAGAGACTTTCCACAAAATCCCTACCAGTAACCTTCACAGCTGCCAAGGCCATCAGAAGCAGGGAAAGCCTCCAACGGTCACAACAAAGAGCCCGAGGAGACATAAGAAAATGTAATGTGTTCTGCATGGGGTCCCAGAGGAAAAAAAGGACATTAATGGTTCATTAGTTGTGACAAATACACCTTACGCTCACCTTACGCCCTACTAAACAGAAGATGTTAAAGTAGGGAGGCTGGGTATAGGTGTATACAGGAACTCTTCTTTACTGTCTTCACATTAATTCTATAAATCTCAAACTATTTTAAAACTAAAAGTTTATTTAAAAAGAAAAAATCAGGGCTGCCTGGGTGGCTCAGTGGGTTAGGCCTCTGCCTTCAGCTCAGGTCCTGATCTCAGGGTTCTGGGATCAGGTCCCACATCAGGCTCTCTGCTAGGCAGGGAGCCTGCCTCCTCCTCTCTCTCTCTCTCTCTCTCTACTTGTGATCTCTCTCTCTGTCAAATAGATAAAATCTTTAAAAAAAAAAAAAAAAGAAAAAAAAATCATAGGAGATTATTTCTTAGTTTCACGAAGTTTACCATTGAGGCCACAGACCTATTCTATTCTAAAAGGCCAGAATATCTAAAACTTTGAAGAAACAATGAATGAGTCCATTCAGCTTTTTGTCACTTAATGGAAAAAGCGATAGCTCAGAAGTCCTGCACCAAATCCACAGTAGCATCCTTTCATGCTTAGTAGTGGCATGGCTTCTCCATGAAGGCATTTGACAAGTTCTAAACTAATGAAATATTATAACCTGATTTAATAGCTCGAAACCTACTTCTCTGATTAGTCTTACTATTTGTGCTAAATTGGCTGTTCAATGATTTAAAACTAATCTATTTTCTCTAACTTCATTTTAGATGAATTAAATAATCTTGGACATCCTGGTGAGTAAGACAAACAACACATTAGCTTGACTACAATAACTAGATATTCTTTTGCTATAATAATACTAGTAAATTTTTTCTTTATTAAAATAATACAATTTAGGGTTGAAATTAGTACTTACATGAGGGATAATTTCATGCGAGTGAAAATATTAAAAATATTCTAGATTATAAGACTACAGAAAAATAAATATACTGCAGCTACAGAAAATATCAATGTATATTTTCATCATTGTGTATGATCTATGTCATAAAAAGGCAGTTAACGGAGTGCCTTTGTCTGAAGTACAAGGGGTGTGAGTGAGCATCGTTGGTGCCGTGCAGAGAAATAGGTGGCCATGGACCACCAAGAGACAGACAGCAGAGGCGCCAGGGTGACTCAGTCAGTTAAGCATCTGCCTTCGCTGCAAGTAATGATCCTGGGGTCCTGGGATCGAGCCCCACTTCAGGCCCCTTGCTCAGCAGGGAGCCTGCTTCTCTGTCTTCCTGACACCCACCCCCCACTCATGCTATCGCTATCTCCCTCTCTCTCTCAAATAAATAAAATTAAAAAAGAAAAAAGACTCACTGCAGAAGTATTCATCATGTTGGCCAGTTTTAATCTGATTTTGAACAGATGAAACTAAAGGGAAAGCCTCAGCTGTGATGAAAGGCGTAGTAATACTGAGGACCTTGTAAAGACGAGGGTATCAGCATGGGCCCGAGATCCTGAAAGGCAGTGATGGAACCTGGGAGGATACTCTGAAACTAACCCTTCCCCGAGCAGTGAAGAAGGCAGTTACATCATTTAATACTTACAGCGATCCTTCGTATTCCCACTATGTTATTTCTCATTATTTTAGCACCATAACTGGTCTGCTTAGTTTCGTGCCCATATTTTACTAATAAACATCTGTTACCGTCAGTGATGATCAGTCTGTGCCATTACACAGATGCTAATGAGACAACCTGGAAGGCCTCCGTTACCCGTGTGCTGTCCTGCGGCGGAGCTCTTGGGGACGTGTGCTTCAGACATCCAGACCCATGCAGTGATGTAGCTAGCTGTTTCTCTTAGTCTAGTTAGAATCCTCCTTTCCTAAGTTGGTCTCTTATTTCTTGCTGTACAGCGAACATTGTGAAAACTATCAGGAAAACTTCTGCAAGAAACCACCAATAAGCTTCTAAGATGTTCCTGGCCCTCACTTTTATTATATCCTTATACAACAGGAATCAAGAGATGCCCCCAACACTAAGTCTTTGAAAAAAAGAATTTTTTTAAATGAACTTTTAATATTTTAATAGACTACAATAATTAGATATAATATTAAGAATGCAAAAAGAGTTATCCTGTCTATAATAGAAGACACACTACTGACTCAACCCCCATCTTTTCCTGCATCTTTTGCTGCATGGTCCTCAGGATGGGAGGTTTTTCATTTTATGTGTGTAGATGGCAAAGAACGAGGGCTGTGGAGTGAGACTAGCTCAGTTACTTCGAGCAAATGACTCAATCCCTCTGTGCCTCAGAGTCCTTGTCTGTATAGTGGAGGAAGTGTGAACCTCATAGACAAGGTGAGGCTTACTTAAATCCATTATATTTGAAGTGCATAGAATAGTACCAGGCAAGCCTTTAGCAGCTGCTAACCATTCCTGCCACTGCTTAATACCACCACCCACCATTTCCAGACTGAGTTCTCCCTAGCATATTAAGGATTACTACCCGAGCTGTGGTCATTAATTACTGAAAACATTCCCCTGTCCTGATTCTACTCTGTCCATGCAGGTATGTTTATCAAGAATCTGAAAATACTAAAATTATTAGTTAGCTGTTAGGAAACCACAGTCTGTCTTTTGATGCTGCTGATGTTATTTTTCCTTGTGTCCGTGTGTCTTTAACCCTGCTGATATTTGTATCATGGACAGTAACACCTTCTCTTTTTTATATTTTTATGTTTTTGTAGACAATAAAGAGCAAACAGCTGATCAGCCTTTGGGTGAGTAGAGCTTTGAAATGCTTGGTCAAGGGCTACCTAGGTGGCTTATTCGTCAGTTAAGTGTGTGACTCACACTTGATTGAGCTGAGGGCTCAATCTCAGGGTCAAGAGTTCAAACCCCACGCCCCACTGGGCACCACGCCTACTTAACAAATAAATTAATTAAATGCTTGGTCAAAATAGGGGCTCCTGGGTGGCTCATTCAGTTGGCCGTCCAACTCCTGGTTTCAGCTCAGGTTGTGACTCACAGAATCTGCTTGAGATTCTCTCTCTCCTTTCCTTCTGCCCTCCCCACCCGACTTGCAAGCTTTCTCCCTCTCTCTCTCTCTCTCAAGATTTTATTTATTTGTTTATTTAACAGAGAGATAGAGAGCACATGTAGCGAGCAGAGGGAGAGGGGAAAGCAGGCTTTCTGCTGAGCAGGGAGACCGATGCAGGGCTTGATGCCAGGACCCTGGGATCATGACCCGAGCTGAAGACAGCTGCTTAACAATTGAGCCACCCAGGTGCCCACCCCCCAAAATGAATAAATAAAAACTTTTTTAAAGTAAGTAAATAGGGGCTGCTGAGTGACTCAGTCAAGTCATTAAGCATCTGCCGTTGGCTCAGGTCATGATCCCAGGGTCCTGGGATTGAGCCCCACATCAGGCTCCCTGCTCAGCGGAAAGCCTGCTTCTCCCTCTCCTATTTATCTTGCTTGTGTTCCCTCTCTTTCTGTCTCTCTCTGTCGAATAAATAAAATCCTTTTAAAAAATAAATGAATAAGGAAAATAAAATACTTGGTCAAAATGCGACATTATAATGCTTTTATGATGGTCATGAAGAGATTTAAGACATTTTAATTTGACATTATAAATATTTAAATGACAGTGAGACCAAATGTTTTATTTTGGATATTTGTAAAAGAAGTTGTAAACAGGGAGCTGAAAAAGATGATGAATTCAGTTTCTGGGACCTAGTCACCTTCTAGGGAATGATTTTGTTTTGGCAGCATGTATACAACTAGGTAAACAGGAAACTTAACCTGTTACACAGAAGCGGTTAATGCTGTCTCTTAGTGAGGTTAGAGGTGGGAGAAGCCGCAGAGAGGTTGCAATGCTAGCAGCTTTATGAAAAGTAGAGGGGCACCTGGCTGGCTCAGTCAGTGGAGCTTGCGACTCTTGATCTCAGGGTTATGAGTTCAAGCCCCACCTTGTGTTTAGAGATACTTAAAAGATCTGAAAGAAAACGATGACTAGAAGGACCTTCCAGACAGGAAGCATGACATCGCAGTCACAGCATTGTAGAGAGTGAGCCAGTGTGCTATCTTGTGGGAACTGCAAGTCACACACAGTCTTGGAGCACAAAGAGAAAGTGGGAGAGAAGGTGGAGGACGCCAGCCCTTGAGGAGCCCATTTCTCATGGAAGCCACTAGAAGGAAACTTGTGGATAGAGGCCTGTGACTTGTCTCTGAAAGGCCAGTCTTGTATGGACGGAAAAAGTAAACTGGAGGGAGACGATGTTTTGGTTAGGAGAAAAATTCAGAGACTGTTGCAGTAGTCGAGGTCAGAAATCATGGGAATCCAAACTAGGATAGTACCAATGCGAACGCAGAAGACAGAGCTGACTTAGAAGACCTTTAGGTGATGGAATCAGTAAGCTGTTCTCATTGCCTTGCTATAGGGCATAAAAAGTAGAGAGGAATCACCAGGCCTGCTTGGATTGCTGGTTGGCCCACTAGGTGGGCCAACCTAACCAAGAGCTCACTGAGTTCAAGAATACAGAATGGAAAGCAAGATTCAGAGGCTAGATGACTATCCGTTTAGGACCTAACCTTCTTGAGGTATTTGAGCACATCGAGGTGAAGATGTACAGTGGGCAGTTGTGGACATGGATCTGGAGCTTGAAGGGGGCGGCCAGGGCTAGGGCTAGTGGTAGAGTTAAGAGCCTCCTCAGCACAGAGATGGAAATTCAAACCAAGCGGTGGCATACATGAGATTACCACAGGCCACAGAGAAACGGGCACAAACTGGGTAACCTTTATGTGTGTGGGGGTGGTGGGGTGGGAAGGGCAGTCCATACAGTATTTTTTAACAGAATCAGTCATCACTAACCAGGTGTTATATCAAAATTTAGATTGCTAGGTTCTTTTGAGGGGTAGCTGTGCTAAATAGTGGCTACTCCCTTAAAAGGGGCTTGTACTCCTCTGTCTTCCCGTTCATTGTACAACCTTAGGCCTACTTCACTTTCCCTCCCCTTCCCCATCCTCACCTCCTTACCCGTGTGGTCTTGCCGTATACCTAATTTTTTTTCTTTCCATGGTGTCTGGGCCTCAAAAGTGGGAGTCGTCCAGATTTCCTAAGGTTTAGATGAACTGGCAGGTATCACACCAAACTGTGTTGTTCAGAGAAAATCAGTCACAGGGCAGCCCAGATTCAGGGTGGGAGCTGGGATGCGGGTCTGTACCCTTGAGGGCAAGGAAGGATAGCATGGCTCCTTGGAGGTCGCTGCCTTCTACCGCATCTGGAGAGGTAGGCTTGGACTTTACTTTGTAGGATGTAGAGATTAAAAGGTTTTGTGCAGACCAACAAGGACTGTATATTCCATCAGATTTGATGCTAATACTCAATTTTTGATAGTCAACAGGTTTTTTTACTTAACAAATACCTAAATAGCACTTGATCTGCACCAGGTTCCTTTCCATGTAGTTAAGAATATTATTTATTTTGGATGATACATAATTACAGGTGGAATTAATACTGTAGCATTGTACCGGTTTTTGCAGAATACATTGCATTAAGCTTTGGAAGATGCCTGGGATCCTCTAGTTAAAATATCTTTCTGAAGTGGTTTTATTATTCTGTTGCTTAATCAACTGGCATTTTTGTTTCCTTTTTCCAATAAATGGTTTGTGTTCAAGAAGTTGTGGGTGGCTCTTACAGTAAGTGTTTTTTTTTCTTCAGAAGATTTCTTCCATCTATTTTATCACTTGCAAACCATCACGAATTGCTTATGTAGTTGCTATTTTGAAATTGTCTTTGATTCCTTGCCCTTATCTCCCCCACTTCGCATTTTACCGCTTCGTTCTCTGTGGTATCTCTAAAGTCTGGCTTTTCCTTTTCCTCTCTACAACCAATTCCTGGAATGGGTCTTTGTCATCTCTTATATTGACCACTGTGGTCTGCATCTCTATTCCAAATGCACCCCAGTTGGCCTTCCGTTCAGGAACTGTTCACAAGCAGGTTGGGCAAGGTAAGATTTGCTTACCTATCATCTTTATTACCATTACACTCAAGAAAATGCTCTAAGACATTTTAGGAATTGGCTGTTAACTGTCATTGGGGAAGATTGTTTTAAAGAGCGCTGGCCACTGCTGCTACACATATTTTGAGCCACATAGTTCTTGAATTATTGAACCTTGGCCTTCTGTAAACTGTACCGACTGTTTTTTCTAAACAGATGACTAAATCCATGAATAAAGAATTGACATTAGCAAAAACATGCGTAATTTGAAAACTGGTCTTTTTTCCCTAGATGCCAGTGATTTTTTTTTCTGTTGTATTTCTTATAATTGTTTTTTGCCAGTAAAACTTAGTCTAGGACAGATAATAGAATTAAATTATAATATTCCATCAAAAAAACTCTAATTTACAGACACTTTACTGCCTGCATAACTTTGGGAACCACATGGTTTGTGTGAGGCAGAGACACACATTCTCTTACTTTCCCCAGTCTGAGGTACATTGTGCCGAATCTGTCACTGTATGGACGGGCCTAAATTCTGATGGGGTTGATGGGCTCACAGAAAGTGCACTGAGAATTTTTTTTCTGTGGATTAGTCAGCTAAGTTTGCCATGCAGTGGGTACTTTGGTCTAAGAGCACAGATCTAGTTTATTTAAGAAGAAGGTTTTTTTAAAAGGCAATGTTAAGTTTCATACTGCCTCCTATTGAATTCTATCCTGAGTGTCCTCAACTTTTCCAGTGATTTTTAGAACTAAAGGCAGTTCAGTAGAAGCTTTATGTCTGAAACTTTGTGTTTAAAGTAGTCTTGATAATTGACCTTTTCTTTTAGATAAAAGATAATCATTCATGTAGGCCTTGAAGTGACTTTTACTGAATTAGAAATGTTCAAGTATCATTTCAGTTTTTTTTCTAAAATATGTTTACTCATTAGAATAAGCAACTTGAGGTATGTGCTATGGTGAGTGCCGTGAAGTGTGTAAACCTGGCGACTCACAGACCTGTACCCCTGGGGATAAAAATATATGTTTATAAAAAATAAAAATTAAAAAAAAAAAAGTATAAGCAACTTGCAAGAAGCCCCTAAGACTGTGAATGTAGAATAAAGATACCATGACAAGAAAGGATTGAGGCTTCTCACAAAGTGGGTGTTCTTTCACTCTGAGAGCCCCATTTTAGAGTTGGCACAGGTTTTTCTCCAGACCTGGCTTAACACTAGACTTAAGTCTTCTGTGGAAAGAAATTTCACCAAAGAGTTTTCATCAATTTAATGATTTAAAACATCTGAAATTCAATTCCATATTGCAGACATCAAGTCAGCAACGGGATTATTTATGCCTGTTTCAGTCATGAGAGTAGTCTTCATGATAATTTATAAAGAAACTACTGAGCAGCATTAAGCGACAGAGGTTGGTCATCCAGCCCTGGCCTGTGTCAGTCGGCGGCTCCTCAGCCGGTTTGGTGATGGCCTGTCGGCTGCTCCCCTACAGCCTTCTGTGTGGTTCACACCAGAACCTGTGCTGCCTGTCCCCGCCGTGGCCCTCCGCTGTCCTCCCAACGTGGCTCGGTCTCCAATCTCTATACACTAACCCCAGACTAGCAAAGCTGTGGTTGTGGGGACCCGCCCTCTACAGCCATTTCAGGACACGCTCTACACGTGGTAAAGCTAGCTGGCACTTTCTAAGGCATCGATTTGGGTCTGTTTGGCCCTAAGAAACAGAGAAATGCCTTGTATGAGGGTACGTCTTTGAGCAACGTCTCTGCACTAAGGTCAGAAAATAAACTATTAAGATAGTCATACAAAAGGTCTTCACATATCCCTAAGGTCAGGGGATTTTTTTTTTTTTTTTTTTTTTTTTTTAAAGAAGCCGAAGGGAGATAGCACATCAACTGACAAAATACAGATAGAGTTCTTGTTAAGTCCCTGCTTTCCTCTCCTCTTTGGTTTTCCCCTTGTTTGCTCTGATGAGAATTTGTTCTGTTCCTCTTTTTGGTAATTCTTTTGGTTTTAGCATCTTCCACAGTTAGTAAAACAGAACCTAATTTGATGGGAACCCAGTTACTAACATTGCTTGTTTAAATTTTCTCTAAAAGTCTAGTTGAATATCCTTTTCTTTTGTTGTAACTCAATAAAAGTATAAATTTAGTATTTGTTACCATGAGGCTTCATATGAGTCATAAATATCCTTTGCCTGGTTCTCGAAAGCATTGATAAGTTTCAGTTGTTTGATTTATCAACCTGTGTTCCTCAGTATACTACAGGAAGTGGTCTACATATAGTATATATGCTATATACTATATAAAGTTGTCTGCTAAATAAAATAATTCTAGGATAAAATTAAAAATGAGATCTTATTTGTAAAGCATATGTTTTATTATATTTATACCATTTCCATAGGTTTTTACTTTAATCTTTATATCCTCCTCTAAATGCCCCCTCTTCTTTTTTTTTTTTTAACAGCAAAGGACAAGGTTGCTCTTTTGATAGGAAATATGAATTACTGGGAGCACCCCAAGCTTAAAGCGCCATTGGTGGATGTGTATGAATTGACCAACTTGTTACGACAACTAGATTTCAAAGTTGTTTCACTGTTGGATCTCACTGAGTATGAGATGCGAAATGCTGTGGATGAATTTTTACTACTTTTAGACAAAGGAGTATATGGTAAGATATTTATAATCTTGGTTTTTATAATTATCCACTTGTTACTATACAAGTTAGGTTAAGAGACAAAAATCAGAGAACGGTATGGTAAACACATCCAGCTGAAGTTTGTGAATGAATTGTTTGTGAATTAATTTTACAACTGAAATTGTGAAAATGATGGATTTAATCTTCATTCTGTAGTTCCATGTGAACAATTAGCTCAGTGTCCTTTCATGTCGCTTATTTTATCAAAACAATATTGTTCTTACTAGAATTTTTTTCCTGTCTTGATTTTGTGTTTTATTGATAAGAGCTGAAGTACAGTGAAGCTCAGTGACCAAATGGCACATCGTATACACATATATGTAGCATCCTGCTGTGTGTGTGTGTGTGTAGTACAAAGGGAACCAAGTGTGCATTCTGTATGTTTTAATCTCCTTCTAACTATAGCCTAGTATTTTCTAGTCCTTTAACAGGAACTAGAATTTAGCAAGAATATATTGGTGAATGAAGCATATGAAAGCAATTTGTAAACAAAATCTCTGTACAAACATAGAGGTGGGCCCCCACAGAAATTCTAATGGTAAATTTGTAATGATTTTACTCATTCTCTCATTTAAATGTGAAGAACACCACAAATATGGTAAAGATTTTTTAAAGAGACAGAATATGCTGTCAGTAGTAAGTGATTTCTTTGGTAAGTTGCTTCTTGTAATGGGTAGAAGCACACACGGAAGGCCAGCCGGCGGGCTTCTCGGAGCTGCTATCCCCCAGGCTGTGCGTGCGGTGATACTGTGCGGTCACATGTGACTGCCAGCCAAGTGGCATCCCCGGGCCTGTTGTTAGGCATGCTGGTGTTGAAGTATCAGATTAGCTTCTGTGTCTTTCCAATTATTTTACTTCAATAATTTCTAAGTTTATTTTTTTTAAAGATTTTATTTGTTTACTTGAGAGAGAGAGAGCATGAGAGGGGAGAAGGTCAGAGGAAGAAGCAGACTCCCTGCAGAGCTGGGAGCCCGATGTGGGGCTTGATCCCAGGACTCCAGTATCACAACCTGAGCGGAAGGCAGTGGTTCAACACACTGAGCCACCCAGCCACCCCAATAATTTCTAAGTTTAACCTTTCATTTATAGTTAGACTGATATGATGAAGTGGGCTTGGTGGAATTGCTAATGGGTCTCGAAGGAGAATTTTTAACGGAAGAAAAAACTTTTCTTTCCCCAAGATTCAGCATGTCACTGTATATGGGATGGGGAGAATCTTAAAATCTTATTTAAATGAGTTTCCTCTTAAATAAAATAATAGGATTACAGTTGTAACACAAATAAATCAACAAAGTAAATATCTCAAATTTGGGATTTCAACTCTTACGTTGATGTTGTAATAATATAACCTTGTTTATGAGTGTGTAGAGTGGTAGCTCTGGGTGAGGACATTCATTTTTCTTATGAAAATATGGTAGAATATACTGTACAAATGTGCCTTCTTGGTAATTGCTTAATATGTTTTTAGTCTAGATTAAGATGGTGTTTTGAGGGGCACCTGGGTGGCTCACTGGGTTAAGCCTTCAGCTCAGGTCATGATCTCAGGGTCCTGCAATGGAGCCCCGCATCAGGCTCTCTGCTCAGTGGGGAGCCTGCCTCCCCCTCTCTCTGCCAACTTGTGATACCTCTCTGTCAAATAAATAAATACAATATTCTTTTAAAAAGATAGTGTTTTGATTCTTTTTATTGCATTTAATTTATCTCTGTTTATAAAGTACCCGGAAAGGCTTCTAAAGCATCACTGAAAGGAATGAGACAAAAGGGAAAAATAATTAGCCAACTTAGGGTTTAGGTTGGTAAAGTAGTTGATAAAGATTTATTTATTTAAGGGGGGGAATGCGGGGGAAGGGGCAAAGGAGAGAGATTCTTCAGCAGACTCCGTGCTGAGCACAGAACCTTGTGTAAGCCTCGATCTCAACGACCCTGAGATCAGGACCGAAGCTGAAACCAAGAGTTGGATGCTTAACTGATGGAGCCACCCAGGCATCCCAAAAGCTAGGTGGCTTTTAAATCCTACTGATTGGTGTCTTAACAGGGTGACTGCTTTATATTTTCAAGTATTGTGAATATGCTAAACATCAGGCATATTTGCATGAAATGTCAAGTGGGGTAGAGGCTCACGGGGAGGCGCTTCTCCTGCACCTTTACCTCCAGTTGGCAGCCCCAGGTCACGGCTAGTATCCCGTGGGGGAGGGGGCCGAGGCAGAGCGCAGCAAATCCAGCGTGAACAACTGCAGAGAGGGAAAGCATATGCACTCAAGTTTATGTCCTTTTATATCCTGTTGCCCGTGGGTTTGTAAAAGAAGCAAAAACTGCAACAGAACAGATAATAGGTAATTCACTCTTAAAACAGATATAAACTTAAAAAACACTCTAAGAGCAGGAATAACTGATTTCTGCTACGTGTCCTTGCAGACAAATGGAGATAAAGATTTCCAGTTGCCATATGTAGCTGTGGTAGGGAGTAACTGTTTGGCTTGATATCTCCCCCACCTTGTGCCTTTCTACCCTCATCGCTTGCGGTGGCTTCGCCGTGCTTTTGTAGAGGAGGATGTTGAAGGAGGCTGGTCAGAATACGGCCAAAGCCTTACTTACTCTAGAGGAGTCGTTCGGCTCCCCGGAGCTGAGTGGCGAAGCAGGGGGGCCTCGAGTAAGCTCACCCGGGTCCGACGCTCTGGCCTTTCTGCTGACCGGTGTGTAACTAGAACCAAGTTAGTTAACTTTCATAAGCCTAAAAAGACTTACGAAGTGGTAGACTAACATAATGAGGTGATTGTCGAATAAATAAGATAAAATAATTATCCCGGTGTCTGGCCCACTATTGTTGTAATTTCCTGAATTCCACTTTCCTTCACTTTACGTGGAGATTTGAACCCGGTGGCATTCCACATCAGACCTCAACTAGAGAAACCGGGCTTCCATGTTGTTGCATATTAAGGTACAGCCTCAGATTCCTTTTTTTTATATAAAAAAATGGAGGTTTTAAGATGATCGTAATAGTGAGGCCATGAATAACCAGTACACGGATGGTTTGTATTTTCTGAGAGTAAAGTTACTAGAAAGACAGCGGTAGTTACCACGAGACAGTGCAGTGGGAGCACAGCCCGGCCGGCATCCAGATTCTGGCCCTGTCATTCTTCGTCATTGTTTACAGTGTTTCCGTCTGTAAAAGAGGGACGGTAATATTACCTCCCTGGTTATGAGAGATGTCTTGTAAGGATCATAGGAGATGATAACCGTATAGTTAAAGCACTTTTTTGTGTGAACAGGGGAGGAGCCGTGTAGGCTGATGCGGTAGCCGCGGTCATGGTCAAAGCACGGTGCTCGGTGCATGGTGGGACAGTCTTCACCGAAGCGATTCTTTTCTCTATGGACAAGAATGCATAGCTGTAATGAACTATATTCTTGGAAATCATGTTCCCCAGAAATAAAATTCCCTAAAGGTCTAATTGATAGGATAGTGTTTTGAACCACATTGAATTTTTTGTCATTTATAAAGTTACCTATTCTGTGCCTCTATCCTTGAGTAATGGGATAGTCGATTAAATTAATAAGTACTACAGATGCAATTCTTAAAATACCATGATTTGGGCTAGTTTATTTTACATAAAAATGTTTAATCTCCCACAATGTAATTCGGATGTAGACTTTGATACAAAATGCTTAAACTTTTCATAAATCATTTTGGGGAGCACAAAAGGTATTTTGTTCTAAGTATCTTTGTTTCAATGATTGCAGAGCAGGACATACGGCACTGAAATAATGGACCACACTTAGGTTTCCCCGGTCACTGGAGGCCGAACCTTCCCTTGAAGTTGGTGCGTCTCCCAAGTTATAAGTCTTATTAGAGACAGATGCATTACGTGATACAGCGGGGGCAATCCCAAGCCCTCTGGCCGGCTGGCTAGTAATACCAGTGCAAATCAGACTTTTTATAGAACGTTCTCCACATCTACCTCTGTTCTGATTGGTTTGCACTGTTAATTTAATCCATTCAAAAAGCATGTACTGAGTTTCTTATTATATCCATAGCCCAGATAAAGAAGTATGCTAGGTATTGAAGAAGATACAGAAAATAAAGAACATGATTTATATTCTCAAAATTAGAAGTCCCTTAATATATTTATATTCTCAAAGTTAGAAGGCACTTAATATAATGAGAAAAAAATGCCTTTTTAGAGTCCAGATACCTACCACCTATATGATTTTAAGCAAGTCATTTGAGCTTTTTAATTTTCTCAAGAATAATAAGGATATAAATTATTTAAAGGTTGCTATGTAGATTAAAATCAGTTCGTGTATATGAAGGTCCTTTCAAAACCATGAAAAATCTCTACCAGTGTGTAAGATTAATGTCTATTGTGATTTTTAGACAAGAAGTGAAACCTACAAAGAACTGTAGGGTGTCCCCGAGGGGTGCTGCCTGCCGTGTGTCAGAAAGCCAGAAACTGCGTGATAGCCTGCTGAGTGTTCTGAGCCTGAGAAGACCTTAGAGGACTTGTCATGATCTGGCTGGACAGGAAGGAGATAGTCTCCGGAGCAGGGTCATGAAGGTTAGAAATCAGCAGAGCTTGCTTTTAGAAGCTGTGAACAGACTGATGGGGAGGAGGGTCCCATGTTGTACGCAGGTCCCCCGCTACGGGCTTGCAGAGCGCTCCTCTGACGGCCTGCGGGGAAGAAGCACTTACCATGCGCCTGAGCGTTTCCAGACCCAGACAGGCTTCTTTACTACTGAAGGATACATCTTGCTAACAGATGCACGCACCAAAGGGAGGCGAAGCCCAGTGGCTCACAGACACAGCTTACAGCACTGGCGCTGCTGCTGAGCTGCCCGGTGTGGTTCTTGGGGAAGGGGGCCGCGCTGCCCCTCCAGGGCTCGTGCCGGCCGCAGACACACTCAGCGCTCTTTTCACTTTGCGCCTTTTCTCGTCGAAGCAGAAATCCTCTTTGGGTCTCTTTTGAGTAACAAAAGTGGACAGTAGGGGCACCTGGGTGGCTCAGTGGGTTAAAGCCTCTGCCTTCAGCTCAGGTCATGATCCCAGGGTCCTGGGATCGAGCCCCGCGTTGGGCTCTCTGTCGGGAGCCTGCTTCTCTCTCTCTCGCTCTGTCTGCCTCTCTGCCTACTTGTGATCTCTCTCTGTCGAATAAATAAATAAAATCTTTTTAAAAAAAAAGAAAAAAGTGGGTACTAATGTAGGTCTTTCATAAAAGCAAAGTGGTCTGATGCAAACTTCAAGAGCAAGGGGTACCTGCACTTGATAAAGAATTATAAATTTTACTCTTTTGAAGTATACAGTTCAGCGGCTCTTAGTATATATTCACAGAGCTGTGCATCAGTCACCTAATTGCAGAACGTTTTCATCATCCCAAAAAGAAGCTCCATGTCCATTAGCGTCACTCTCCATTCCTCCTTATCCCACACCCCTGGCAACAACACATCCACTTTCCTAGCTTTATGGATTCACCTCTTTGAGACAGTTCATAGAATGGGATCATTCCATACATGTCCTTTTGTGTCTGGCTTTTTTTACATGCCATAATGTTTTCAAGGTTCATCCGTGTTGTTGCGTGATATTTGTGGCTGGATAATCACCCCTATATGGGCGTGCCACATCACTCATCAGCAGGTGGACATGTCGGTTGCTTAAACTGTGTGGATCTTGTGAATAACACTGCTGCGAACACTCGTGTACACGTTCTTGTGTGGACACACATTTTTGGTTCTCTTGGGTATATGTACCTTGGATTGCACTTGCATTGGCTGGGTCATAGGATAATTCTGAGTTTAATTTTTTGAGGAACTGCCTCACCTCTTTCCAAAGTGCGTGCACTGTTGTACATTCCCACCAGAAATAAATGAGGTTTCCACTTTATCTACATCTTTGCCAGCACTTGTTATTGCCTGTTTTTATTATAGCCGCCTTAGTAAGTGCAAAGTGGTGTCTCATCATTTTGTTTTGCTTTTCATGTACTTATTTGCATTTGTATATCCTCTTTGGAGAAATGTTTATTCAGGTCCTCTGCCCATTTTTTTATGGGGGTATTTGTCTTTTTATGGTCAAATTGAAGAGTTCTTTACGTATTCTAGACACAAGTTATCCTTTTAGATACATGATTTGCAAATATTCTCCCTTATTCTTCAGGTTGTCTTCTCACTTACTTGATCCTCATTGCTTAGTGACTTAAATCCATTCCCTGTGTCGTGATTTTCAAAATGCTCCCTATCCGTGCGGTCTCACTTCCATTTACAGCAATAGCTGGATTCTTGGCCAGGCTGGTCTCCTTTCTATGAGCGGCCATTCCGGGTCCTCACCTTGTTTGTTTCCGCCGTCCCTGCCCCTAATGAACCTCACTCTTCTCTCTCCCTTTCTAGATTGCACCCAGGCTCTCAAGGCCACCCACCGCTGCCTCACCTCACCCTTCCTCCCCTCTGCACCCTGCTCCTACCAGGCAGGGTTTCCTTAACCACATAATTTATGGTATTTCATTATGTGCTGACTTTCTTTGTTCTTTGACTAACAACAGGAGCAGGACTGAATGAGTTGCAGGCTCCCTGGGCCAGGAACTTTGTCTTCCTTTTCTTTATCGTTTCTTTCAGTGCCTACGTGATTTCATTCAGGGCACAGACGGGATAGGATAAACCCACACTGAATAAATGAATGCGCCCATTTTGTCACTTGTTACCTGAAATGTTACATAGGAAAGAACCATGTTTCCCATTTTAGTAGGAGTTCAAGTAAAGTAGGCCGGGGTCCTGCCTTCTAGGACCGAATGAAACACATTGTTTTAGTGTTCAGAGCCCCGTTCTTTACTAGGAATTGGGCCTGTAGATAAAAAGGATTAGTTTTTCTGTTGTTCCCTGTCTCAGTGCCTTTATACTGTTAAAGATAGAGTACCATAGAAGTCGTCATACCCAGAATGCTGAGAGAGCATCAGTGGGCCTTAGAAACTGCATGCTCAGGGGAGGATGTCTTCACAAGTATTTCTATCAAATATTGTTATAAGGAAGCCCATATTGATGTCTTGGGGGAGTTGTTGTATAGCCAAAATAAACTTCTTTTCAAGAATATCTTCAGAGTTGTTTGGTACAGTTTTTATATTATCATTTCTCAGCAAAGAAATAATGACTCATTTATGGAATGCTAAAAGGAACCCAAATTTTAGATTATTAATTCAAGAGACTCTAGATGGAAAATTAATGATAATTATATCTCTTAAGAAAAAGAAAAAATAATCATGAAACCGGATTTCCCTTCTCTGCTTAGAAAAAGCTACATTTATATTTTTATAGCCCTTCCTAACATTCTGTGGAAATGACTGTGGAATCTCTTGTTCTCGATATTGCCGTTGCTACTCGTCTGAACTGTGTTTATTTGTCCATCCGTTAAAAATTTACTAAGCTCCTGCTGTGTGCCAGGAACACACAGATAAAGATAATACCTTCCCTGCCTTGAGGGAGCTCTTGGTCTCCTGATCTCATGGAGGAGACACAGGAGTCAACAAAGAAGTCTTTAGCCTTTTTCTTTGTTGTACATCATGAGATAAAATTGGATTCCATGTTATACCATTGTTTACAAATGTATTATTTTTATGAATTAAAATACACATTAGGACAGCATCTCGGTGTTGGTTTAAGTGCAGTACTTGAAGACTGTTGTCAAAATAATTTTCTGTACACATTTAGTTAACATGGACTGTGTTTATAATTGGGTATCTCTTAAACAAGCTTGCAGTAACTTGAAAACAAAGTCTGGGTTTTTTTTCCTAAAGAGTGCTACATGTGTGTTCAGAGTGCAATTTAGAATTAATTTTTACCTCTTTTTTTTTCCCCCTTTCCAGGATTGTTATATTATGCAGGGCATGGTTATGAAAACTTTGGCAACAGCTTTATGGTCCCTGTTGATGCTCCAAATCCGTATAGGTCTGAAAACTGTCTGTGTGTGCAAAATATACTGAAATTGATGCAAGAGAAAGAAACTGGGCTTAACGTGTTCTTGTTGGACATGTGTAGGAAAAGGTAAACTGCCTCATCTGTGTTAAACAAAGCTCATCGGAGTTAGATAAATACCAACCTTGACAGTGAAATCGAAGGCAAACCTGGGAATGCTGAGAAGCACTCAGGCTTGTGAGTTTGTAGTTACAGATTGAAACTGACCAAGAAGGAAACTCCATTTCTCTATATGTAGTTAATCACTTTAACCTTTTTCCTATTTGTTATAGAACGAAAGTGAGGAACTAAAGGGTATGCGTGTATGCATTTATATTCCAGAAGGTTCAACTCTTCAGAATGTCTGTAGATGTCTCTAGTCCTCACTGCACTGATTTCTCCGGGAACTGATAGAAACAGTACACATAGAGCCGGGCCTCTGTCCGTCCTGGTCTCCCACATACGGGAGTGTAGCCAGACCAGGTGTTTGAAGGTGTGGATCCCAGTTGTTGGTCACTGGGTTCCTACGGAACAGAACCAGTGATTATTCCTCTCGGAAATACAGTTCTGTGCTTGCTCAGCCCATACGGATCAGAAACCAGGGCCAGAGTTCAGACATAACTCCAGTTTTAAAGCTAACCAGAGAAAAGATGATGTGCCTGTCTGCTGTCTCAACAGCAGAAGAGCCCTAGGTTATTTAGGGGTAAATATGTACCTGATTTGATAAAGGCATTTTGAATCTATAATCTTCAGTTATGTATAATAGAATAGCATTATCAGATTTTCCATTATATTATTATTTATGCTCTTTTTAAAATGCTGTTTAACTTTTTTCATATTTGTATCTGTCCTCTCCCTCCTCCCTTTTAAATAGAAATGACTATGATGACACTATCCCAATCTTGGATGCGCTAAAAGTCACTGCCAATATTGTGTTTGGATACGCCACGTAAGGAATTTTACATTCATGTTCAAGATGCATTCATTTTTCAATGACTTCTTTTTGATGAAAGATTGGAAGCCTAGATATATCCATAGGAATGTAGGCATAAATTTTCATCCTTGATAATTCTTGAAAGGATAAATGAGTTAAATAATTGACTTTAGCTCCTTGTATCTTGGCATCTTCTTTTTACTAAGCCCCCAAGCATTTAGTTCCTGCTTAAAGATAAGCTCTGCAATGAGGGTGTCATGCAAGAGGCAGGGAAGCAAATGAGGCTCATGAGTATTTACACAAGTCCCGTGTGGCAGGTGTTTACTTTTTAAAAAAATTTGTCTTTTTGCTGTGTTTAAGGTGTCAAGGAGCAGAAGCTTTTGAAATCCAGCATTCTGGGCTGGCAAATGGAATTTTCATGAAATTTTTAAAAGATAGATTATTAGAAGACAAGAAAATTACTGTGTTACTGGATGAAGTTGCAGAAGGTAAAATAAAAAATAAAGAGAAAGCTACTCGGGGTTCTCTGGTGATTGTTTTATTCCTACTGTTATTGTGCGGGTTTGGAGTTAGTATTTTTTTTTTTTAAGATTTTTATTTATTGGGGTGCCTGGGTGGCTCAGTGGGTTAAGCCTCTGCCTTCGGCTCAGGTCATGATCCCAGGTCCCTCGGGCTCTCTGCTCGGCGGGGAGCCTGCTTTCCTCCCTCTCTCTGCCTGCCTCTCAGCCTACTTGTGATCTCTCTCTGTCAAATAAATAAATAAAATCTTTAAAAAAAAAAAAGATTTTTATTTATTTATTTGACAAACAGAGATCACAAGTAGGCAGAGAGGCAGGCAGAAAGGGAGGAAAGCAGACTCCCCGCCGAGCAGAGAGCCCGATGCAGGGCTAGATCCCAGGACCCTGGGATCATGACCTGAGCCGAAGGCAGAGGCTTTAACCCACTGAGCCACCCAGGCGCCCCTGGGAGTTAGGTTTTTTTTTTTTTTTAAGATTATTTATTTTATTTATGAGAGACAGAGAGAGAGAGGCAGAGGAAGAAGCAGGCTCTCCACAGAGCAGGGAGCCCGATGTGGTACTCGATCCCAGGACCCTGGGATCACGATCTGAGCCGAAGGCAGACGCTTAACTGACTGAGCTACCCAGGCACCCCAGTATTTATTTTTATAAAGTAATTTTTTTCTAGAACATTCAGTAACACTCGTGTTTGATTCCTTCCTCCCTCCTCCTCTCCCTGGTGACTGAGCTTTGCGCCATCTGTGCAGCATGACTCGAGCTACAAGGCTTGTCCCAGGCAAGACTGAAATCAGTGAAGTTTCATTCTCAGAGCTCTGTACCTCGTTTGTGCCTCATGCCTGGTGCATGGCCTTGTCGGCTTGTTTGCAGAAAAACTTGTCCAGAGAACATCGTCTCTCAGGATCAGACTGATCCAGTTTTGCAGAAATTTTGACACTTGGGTGGAAAAGGCTGGGTTCTTTTTTTTTTTTTTTTTTTTTTTTTAATGGACTTAATGGTTTTTAAATTTTGCTTTCAGGACATGACCCTAGAGGACTCACATCATGTCTTCCATTTCCTTGTGTTCCCTTTCCTTCTCAGCATAATGTTATGCTCCTGTCAGGGGCCGAGCAAGGACATATAGATTGCTAGTAGATTGCCAGGTGTTTTTTTGAAATGCCGCTTTAGAAGCCATGCCAAAAGGCAATCCTTTTGCAAACCAGCCCATGAGAAATGGGGTTTCAAGGGTGTTCTAAAGATGGCAGGTGGAGTATAAGATTTGTGAGTGTTTCACTAAGAGCCATGAGTCACCTTTGTTTATTTTGATGTTTTTATCAGTGTAGATCTTTTAGCTAGATCACCTGACTTAACCACTTTCCTATTTAACATAGACAACCAGAGCTTTGACCTCCTCCCACCATCCTGCTTCAACCGGAAAAGTTCTGCTTTTATCTGGTTTTTATATTTGGCTTCTATTTAAGAATAGATTCTTCTGTTTAACAATCTTAGTTTTGCCTCTTTTTTTTTCCAGATAAGTAATGACATATCAAAGACCAGATATTATTACTTTATAACTTTATTTATTAATAATAATACAGAAGTAAGAGAAACTATAATTTTGTTCATATTAAAGAATATATATATGGCTTTATAAATTTAAATTGACATTCATCAGTAGTCACGAGTCTTTGCCTGAAACATGTTAATGAAATGGAGCATGCATATAGGATAACAGTTTTGTTAAGTTCAAAACCTCAAACATTAAGGGCACCTGGTGGCTCCGTCAGTTAAGCGTCTGCCTCTAGCTTACATCATGATCCAGGGTCCTGAGATCAAACCTCACATTGGGCGCCCTGCTCGGTGGGGACCCTGGTTCTCCCTCTTGTCCCCGGCTCATGCTCTCTATTGCTATCTCTGTCTCTCTCTCAAATAAATAAATAAAATCTTAAAAAAAACCAAAACCCTAAAACATGAGCATAAACTACTTACCAATGCCTGTGCGTGAGTGAAAATTAAGATAGGCATGGGAATATATGTGCTACATTGAGCAATGGTTATTTTGAGTCGGAGGAGAAGAATGGTGGTACTTCAACCATATCAGTAATTGTAACACATTATTTCCTTGCTTAAAAATAAAGCTGTCTGAGGTAAAGATGGGCATGAAATCTTACCTTTCGCATGGTTAAGTAGTCATTTGTTCACTAAATACACGTATTTCTCAACAGAGTGTAGACATAAAGTTATCATGGCTGCCCTTTCAGTAAAGAAATGTACTTTCAGGGGCGCCTGGGTGGCTCAGTGGGTTAAAGCCTCTGCCTTCGGCTCAGGTCATGATCCCAGGGTCCTGGGATCGAGCCCCACATCGGGCTCTCTGCTCAGCGGGGAGCCTGCTTCCTCCTCTCTCTCTCTCTCCCTCTGCCCTTCCCCTCCACTTCTTCTCTCTCAAATAAAAGTCTTTGAAGGAAGGACTTTCAATTCTTTGTGAATTTTAAGGCTTAGAATATTAGGGATATGATAATAGAATTATAGAAGATAAAAGCTAAAAGGGGATCTTCAGAAATTTCCTGGCCTAATATTTTTCTCCGTTTCTCATTACTTGGAACCGTGCTGGGCACATAATAGGTGACAGTGAAATAGCTGTCAAGTGAGTGATACTGAGAACATAACTGGATTTGCTGGAGAGTTCTTGACCTACATATTTAAAACATGAAAAGATTGTGGTCTTAATACTTATTTCTTATCTTTTAGATATGGGTAAATGTCACCTCACCAAAGGCAAACAGGCTCTAGAGATTCGGAGTAGCTTGTCTGAAAAGAGAGCCCTCACTGACCCAATCCAGGGGACAGCGTATTCTGCGGAGTCTCTGGTGCGGAATCTGCAGTGGGCCAAAGCACACGGTACGGTGAAGCCTGGTCCTTGTGAGCTTTTCCTACAATATGCTGTATTTAATCGTGAAGGAGGTTTTTTCCCTTCTGGATAAATAGTTTTCCTCTCGATTTTGTAGTGAAAGTATTTTAACCCGGTAGGCAAGACCAAAACTAAACAACTTATCTAATAAACAGTCCCTTGGATTTTCTTAAATTGTGAGCTCTTGGAAGTGTGCCGTTTGAAAAATCAGACAGGCCTGGGTTCTGATCTTGTCTCTACCACTTGATAAACTTGTTATCTATAAATGGGGGGCGAGAACTGATACTTGGGAGGGCTGTTGGTTTTTGGATGCGATCTCACATGCGAAGAAACGAGCGTGCTGGTCAGTAAATACTATATGCTCCTCGGCGTTACTGAGAATTCTCTCCCTGCGACTCTTGCATCGGCGAGTCAGCGCAAGATAAGAGACAGTGAGAGGGAAATCCTATCTGTAACTTACTTACCTTTGGTAATTCTAGGTGATTTAGTGAAAAGGTGAGTTTAAATTATTGACTGAACTAAAAATGTTTAATTTGCTGTGAGTCCCAAATATCTGTGTGGTGAATCCCTTGTTGTAGATAAGTGAAAATTATATTTGGTGTATTTCTGTGTAAGAGTCTGTTTTTCATAATAGTCTGTTCTCTGAAATAGACTTTTGGCTAAATATGTTAAAGCACTTTAAAATATAAAATGTCGTAAATGTATTGTTTTGGCTTTCCAGATAATTGGATAAGTAATTGAAATTGATTCTTTTCCTTTAAAAAAGCTCTAAACAACAACAATAACAAAATCATGGTGATAAGGATCGACAGTAAAAAAAGCTTTTATGAAGTGAAATGAAGGGAGCATCTCTTTACTTGGTGGACAAGCTGCTGCCCATTCATGAATTGCCTAATAAAGTCAATTAGATCTTCAAATTTAAAAAAAAAGAAAGAAAGAAACTTTATACATGAGCTGGTCCAATATTTTTCTCTGTTTGCTGATTACTTTGAACCATGCCTGGTACATAGTATGTGTTCAGTAAAGTAGTTGTTGAGTGAGGGAGTGAATGGGTGGTACTCAGAATAGAACCACATTTACACCAGAGTTCTTGGCCTAAATATTTAAAACATAACGAAAAGATTGTGGTCTGATTTCTTGTCTTTTAGATATAGGTAAATATCTCCTTACCAAGGCAAACAGGCTCTGGAGATGTAGTTTGTCTGGAAAGAGAGCACTTTTTTTTTTGTAACAGATTTGGTATTTTTTATGTTAAAGAGCTCATGCAAAATGGTAAAAGAAGAAACATTAAGACTCCCTCAATTAATTATCAAAGGATGCAAATTTAGCCTATACAATTTGAGAATATATTAACAATTAAGAAACAAATATGGAAAATAATAAACTTAAGTAGTAATTAGAGAAAATAAAATTAGAACTATGATAGAGTAGTTTTTCCTTTTTAATCCCATCAACTAGGTAAATACTTTGAAAATTAATATTACTTCATTTTGGAAATGTATGGTGAGATCTATGTAAATGTATGTAAATATATGTAAATATTGTATGTAAATGAGAGTATCATGTATGAGAAACCATCAAGCAGCTATATCTAATAATCCTAAAGCATTAAGTACATATATATAAGAAATATTGACTATGATAGAAAAATAATAAAACCCAGAAATATTATGGGTATTCAAGAGTACTGGATTTGTTCCCAGTAACAAATATTCAGTGACATTATGCTTTATTAAAAACCATTTTCTTTTTTATTTTTTAAGATATTTTTATTTACTTATTTGACAGAGAGAGAGATCACAAATAGGTAGAGAGGCAGGCAGAGGTGGGGGGAAGCAGGCTCCCCGCTGAGCAGAGGGTCCAATGCAGGGCTCGATCCAAGGACCCTAAGATTATGACCTTTTAAACCAAAGGCAGAGGCTTAACCCACTGAGCCACCTGGTGCCCCTAAAAACTATTTTCAACGAAGATTGAGGCAACAGTGAAAATTTTTCTGCAATTCTATGGATACTTTTGATTACCACTATAAAAATTACATATGCAGGGACGCCTGGGTGGCTTAGTCATTAAGCATCTACTTTCCACTCAAGTAATGATTCCAGGGTCCTTGGATCGAGCCCTGCATTGGGCTCCCTGCTCTACAGGAAGTCTGCTTCTCCCTCTTCCACTCCCCTTCTTGTGTTCCCTCTCTCTCTGTGTGTCTCTCTGTCAAAAAAATAAATCTTTTTTTAAAAAATGACATATGCAGAGGGACAAGAACTATAAACTAATAGTAAATGAAAAATTTTTATTTGCTTGATCAGCAAAATACGGGTTTTTGGTTTTGTTTTTTTTTTCTTTCTGTAAGTGCATGCCTGGGTGTTTTTGTATCTTTGAATAATGTATTAGTTCTAGAACATTTTTAAGTGAAAGCAAAAGCTCTCCATGTATTTTGTCCCATAAAGAACAATTGTCTGTTGCTGAACAAAAAACTTACCAAAGGGCCCCTCAAGGGATTATTTGTAAGTTGTTCTTTCTGTTCTTTTTCAGAACTCCCAGAAAGTATGTGTCTTAAATTTCAGTGCGGCGTTCAGATTCAGTTAGGGTTTGCCGCCGAATTCTCCAATGTCATGATAATCTACACAAGCATAGTCCACAAGCCACCCGATGTCCTGATGTGCGATGCCTATGTCACCGATTTTCCTCTTGTAAGAACCCCCTTTCTTCTTTATTCAAAATAGCACAATATAGGGATGCCCGGGTGGCTCAGTGGGTTAAGCCTCTGCCTTCGGTTCAGGTCATGATCTCAGGGTCCTGGAATCGAGCCCCACATTGGGCTCTCTGCTCAGCAGGGAGCCTGCTTCCTCCTCTCTCTCTGCCTGCCTCTCTGCCTACTTGTCATCTCTATCAAATAAATAAATAAAATCTTAAAAAAAAAAAGATATTTTACTGCCATAGGGACGCCTGTGTGGCTTCGCAGTGGAGCATCTGCCTTTGGCTCAGGTCATGATCCCAGGGTCCTGGGATTGAGCCCCGCCACAGGCTTCCCACTCAGGGGATCTGCTTCTGCCTCTCCGTCCTTCCCCTCCCTTTCTCTCTCTCTCTGAAATAAATAAATAGAAGCTTTAAAAAAAAGATAGTTTACTGTCAGAGACAATGTTGTGACTTCAACTGATTTCATCAATAATGTCTGCTGATTTCCACAGGACTTAGATATTGATCCCAAAGATGCAAACAAAGGGACGCCTGAGGAAACGGGCAGCTACTTCGTGTCCAAGGATCTTCCCAAGCACTGCCTCTACACTAGGCTCAGCTCGCTGCAGAAATTAAAGGTTATTCCTTTTCCTGTTTATTAACTACTGACTTTGTGGAAGTGAAAAGTCATTGTGGCACATGGCAGTTGTGTTAGTTTATAGATAAGCTGCTTCATTGGGTATTAAATTGAGGTGCGGAGACGCGATCCACAGTGAGTCTTCCAGTGACCCTTGTCATATTCTGTTCTGTCCCTGGTAATGGCCTGAGGATTTTTGCGTGAGAGGATATGTGATTACTCTCCGCAGTTGAAAAGTTAGAGATTCAGAGCATAGTGTGCTTTTAAATACCTTTGCATCTTCAAATAATCATTTCCTAGTAAAGGAACGAAAGACCGTTATCACCTTGTTCATAGCTAATCTACCTATAGTCTCCTTTGTCTTTGAAATAACCCTATAATCTGATTTGGTTATACTTCTCCACCCAGGACTGTGGATTATTATTTCATGTTTTTTAAAACAGCTAAACTTTTAGCCTAGGTGTAAAGCCAGCTTTTTTCATTAAAGGATCATTCTCCAGGGGCACCTGGGTGGCTCAGTCGTTAAGCGTTTGCCTTCAGCCCCGGTCATGATGCCAGGGTCCTGGGATCGAGCCCCGCATTGGGCTTCCTCCTCGGCAGGAAGCCTACTTCTCCCTCTCCCACTCCCCCTGCCTGTGTTCCCTCTCTCACTGTGTCTCTCTCTCTGTCAAATAAATAAAAATCTTTAAAAAAAAAAAAAAAGAGGGATCATTCCCTATCTCCACTAATAGGGCAGGGTAAGTTTTCTAAGCCCCACTGCTTAGAAAAATGCCTTTAAACTGTTCATCCGGAATACAGTCCAGAATCATGTGATTCTGGTAACTGCCAGTCGCAAGAACTAGAATTCTACCAGTTCAAAGTACTGACTGAGGGAAATGGAAGGTGATTATAGCTGGCTTTTTTTAATACAGAGAAGATGTAAACAAGCCTTGAGGATTTGGAACCTGGGAAAGGGGAGTGAGAGTGGCTGTTGTTGTGTGATCACAAATGTATTTGTGTATGTCAGTAATACTCTAAGATCAGTATGGTTTCACAGTTGATAAAAATAATTCCTTCTTCTCCTTTTCAGGAACATCTGATCTTCACAGTCTGCCTGTCGTATCAGTACTCAGGCTTGGAAGATACCGTCGAGGAGAAGCAGGAGGTGAATGTGGGCAAACCCCTCATTGCCAAACTGGACATTCACCGAGGTTTGGGCAGGAAAACTTGCTTCCAAACGTGTATTATGTGTAACGGCCCTTACCAGACCGCAGCATCCACCTCATCGGGAACCGGCCGTTACCCCTCATCTCAGGACTCATTCCCCGGTGTTTACCATTCGCACCTTGGTAACTCCAGTAACGTCTTGCCATCAGATGACTGTCGCTGCAGCCGGATGGCAGATGCATTTATTTCAAGTCACCACACCCACCATTATCCGTGCCAGTTCGGGAGGAGCAATGTGCCAGTGGAGACAACTGATGACATGCCATTCAATCTCTCTGAGGGGCTCCGAATTTCTGAAAACTGACCTCCTTATTTTCGGAAGTTACCATAATTACTCGATGCCTCCAGTGCAACAGTACTGACATGAAGAGAGGCATCATAAAAAAGTAAACATGGATCTGTAGAGAGAGAAGATCTGTGATAGTATTTCGTGGCAAACCCAGGACTTTGAATTGTTGGAGTTGAAGACTTTCTCCTCTTCCTTCTCTTTTAAGAGTTGGTGAATTGGTTGACTTGTAAGAATGAAGAATGGTGGTGTATATGTTTATGTGTTTGTAACAAAAATATTTTCATTTTGAGCACTGAAGTAAGAACAATGGGAATGGCATTGTAGAATAAGTCATTGTGTTATGAGAATCAGGAAAAAAAACATTGGTGATCATCGGGCTTAACCTAGTTTCATCCCTGGGAGAAACAGATTGCATCATCTTGTTTACATTAGTGCCGGCCCAGTGCTGAGACCTCCAGATTTCTGTTCCAGTGTTTATCCCTCTATACGCTTCCTTTCTGACAGGTTCTGAGACAGGTGTTCTGTTTGTAGGTGGATTTAAAGATAATATGTAACTACACATGTCTGTATATAATCTAGAAATGTACAAACTTTAATTTGTGATTATAGGACTTTACTGCAAGTGTCAATTAAGACGTTTGTATATAAATCTTATGTAGAACAAGCCGAAGTTTCTTGTTAAGGTCATGAAAGCACATGGAGAGATGATGCAATGCTTGTCTGTGTTAGAGCAAGACAGCAGGACATCGCTGTCTCTGGGTAATCTTGGCACCTGACACTGGATATGTCTTCCTGGATAACATTTTCTTAACGAATTTAATCTTACCACCTTTCATCCTACCTAGAGCATGTCAAAAAGGCAACTGCCAATAACAAAAATATTGAATTAGTAATTTTAAAGCATTCCACAAAGAAACTACCAGGCCCAGATCGCTTCACTGCTATATTCTGCCAAACATTTAAAGAATTAGCACCAGTCCTTTGCAAACTCTCCCCAAAAATGGGAGGAGAAAGAACACTTCCCAACTCATTCTATGAAGCCAGTATTACCCCGATACAAAACCCAGTGATGACATTCCAAGAAAACAACAGCTCGACACCTGTTAAGAATGGAGAATCAAAAGTCATCAACAAAATACTAGCAAACTGAGTCTAGCAATATATAAAAAGGATTATACACCATGACCAAGTAAGATTTATCCCAGGAATGCAAGGTTTGTTGAACATCCAAAAATCAATGTCGTGTGCAGACAATTCTCATTATTCCCAGTAGGTATAGTCTAGGAAGTCACTGTGGATACTGAACTAGTGAATGCAGAGCCATTGCTCCTAGGGGAAGTGTTTGTGTATTCATATCTCAAATAGATTATAATCTTAAATCCTGAAAACAGTTTATCCTGGTATACGGTTTTATTTTATAAAAGAGAAAATGAGGTTCAGAAATATTAAGTGACCTTCCTAAGGCCACCCCACTAATAACTGCCAGAGGTGGGATTCATACCTGGCCCTAGAGCCAGAGCTTACCCAGCCCTGCCCCCACCCCCTCATCTTCTGGTCATGTCTGGGGGTGGGCAGTGAAACAGAGGCAGAGCACTTCCTCGTTCACCCCTGCTGGAACCATGTGTATCAGGAAATTGATGGGTCTGCACATATTTATGAATGATCATAGAAGTGCTGACAGTTTTGATTGGGGATTACAAACAAATTTTACAAATAAATTGATAAATTTACAAACAGACTCATAAATAATGAAGATCAACTGTTCCATGTTCATAAAGCACTAAATGACTACATTGACTTCATTGTTTTAACAGTTGGAGAAAGAACATTTGATAAAATTCAGCACCTTTCATGATAAAAACACTTAATAAACAAGGAATAAAATGGAAATTCCTCAATATGATAAACAGCATCCACAAAAAACCCACACCTGACATCATTATTGGCAACAGACTGAATTCTCAATATCCTCCCCCCAAAATCAGGAATAAGACAAGAATGTTCACTCTCATCCCCTCTAGTCAACATTGTACTTGAGGTTCTAGCCAGGGAATTAGGCAAGAAAAAGAAAGAAAAGTCAATCATAGTGGAAAAGAAGTAAAACTGTGTATGTACAGATGGCATAATCTTATAATTCTAATTCATTTAAAAACTAATAAATGAATTCACCAGGCTAGAGGATAGATACGAGATCAATATACAGAGATCAGCTTTATTTCAATGTCAGCAGTGAATTCTGAAATTGAGATTTTCTGTAAATTCTATTTACAATAGCATCAAGAGGAATAAAAACTATGCAACACTGTTGAAATTAAAGAAGACCTAAATACATGGAAATACATTGTTCATGGATTGGAAGACTTTACACTGTTAAGATGAAAATGCTTCCCAAATTGCTTCATAGAGTTCCTGTAGTTCCTGTCAAAATTCCAGCTGGCTCATTTGCAAAAATTGACAAACTGATAAAATTCACATGCAAAAGACAAAAGCCAAAACAATCTTGAAAAAGAACAAGGTTGGAAGACTCACACTTAACCAATTTCAAAACTTAACCTCAGAGCTACAGTAACCGAGACTGTGTGATACTGGCATAAAGATAAACATGGGTTGAGGGCATATAAAATATAACTGAGAATCCACAAATAAACTTATGATGTTTGTGATCGATTGCTTTTTGACAAGAGTGCCAAAGCATTCAATAAGAGTAATCTCTTCAACAAATAATCCTAGGACAGCTGGATAGCCACGTGCTAAAGGATCCCCCCTCTTTACGCCATACACAAATTTCAACCCAAGATGAATCACATACCTAAATATAAGAGCCAAAACTGTGCAACTGGCAAGAAAACATACAAACAAATCTTTGTGACCTCGGACTAAGCGATAGTTTCTTATATACAACACCAAACGCACAAGCAATGAGGAAAAAAATAAATTGGCACTTCCTCCAAGTGAACTTTCATGTTTTAAAGAACACCATCAAGGAAGTGAAAAGACAACTTACGGCACAGGAGAAAGTTTTTGAGAATTGTGTCTGATAAGGTACTTGTATCCAGAGTGTAGACAGAACTTGTCTAATAACAAGCAATTTATATACTAGTGTTTAACTATGGTTACTGTAGACCAGTAACCAGTGAACTGTCCGACAGGCCATCTGTGAGGATGGACATGTTCCAGATGTGTGCTCTGGGCGTGCCAGCTTCTAGCCCCGTGTGGTAGAGAGCAGCGGACATACAGCTTGTTTCCATATGCAACTGCGCAGCTGTTCATTCTGTATATTTGAGTTTTTAAAAGCGTGTATTTATAATTTTAAGACATTTTTTAAGATAATTGTGTCAAAAAAATTCTACAAATAAAATAACAATTGTGTATTTTTTTTTGTCTCTTTGGCCATGTTTTTATGTGAGTTGACTTCTTACGCCAGTTGCTATATAACATTAGCAGAGGATTTTATACATCAGTAGCATTTCGGAAGAGTAACCCACTGATACCAATTACAGTGGGAGAAAGATATTAGGGTAGTAAAGTCTCACCTAAATCCAAAGCTAATATAAGTTTCTGGGGAAGGGGGTATTTTCTGGAAAGTAACAAAAAGAGCTAAAGTTAGCAATTATAAGTTACATGATTTCTAATTCAAAAAAGTGAAATCAACACATGGATCATCAAATATAAAACATGAACGTGGTATCCATCTGAAGGTGAACAGGTCAAATAAATCATAGCCTTGAGAAAGTCTTTGAAGGATACCAACATAGAAAAAGGGACAACAGACCTTTCCTTTTTCTCCAGTGTTTGTTGCCTTTCGTAGCCCTTACTTGCACACAAAAGCAACCATAAGGTGGTCTCTTTGGTAGTCAAATTTGTTAAGAGTCCAGAAATCCAGTCGTGTAGCCACAGCTCAGATAATTGATATATTGATACATAGATTGGCACAAGTTTAATATAAGGATTAGATCTGAGTTTTTTAAACAAAAGACCTCATAAATTTTAAATTGTTTCCTGTTATTTGAATATTCCCCTAGTACTTTTTTTTTTAAGAGAGATTTTTTAAATTTATTTGAGAAAGAGCGCGAGAGAGAGCATGAACAGGGAAGGAGGAGGTGGGGCAGAGGGAGAGGGCGAAGCAGACTCCCCAGTGATGGGGCTTGATCCCAGGACCTTGGGATGAACCTGAGCCAAAGGCAGAGAGACACCTAACCTACTGAGCCACCCAGGTGCCCCTCCCCTGGTATTTATATACTATCATTGCTTTTCACTGTTAACGGATGCCAAACACTCAGAATTTACACATTACTTTTAGGGACACCTGGGTGGTGCATCCGACCCAGTCGGTTAAACATCCAACTCTTGGTTTTGGGTCAAGTTGTGATCTGAGGGTCTTGAGATCAAGGCCTGCTGCACTGGGCTGTGCGCTCAGTGTGGAATCAGCTTGAGGTTCTCTCTCCCTCTCTCTCTCTCTCTCTGTCCCTCCTGCTCGTGCATGGACTCTATTTTTCAAACAAATAATTTTTAATGTATATATTACTTTTGTGCAATTTCAATCTGTTTTTCTATTTTGACATTATGAGTTTTACCCAGGCCTAACTAAACTATGTATTTTTAAATACTTTCCCTTGAATTATAGGACCTATTTCTCATACTGATAAAAGATGAATTCGTGAAGAAAAAGATACTCAGAACATGAGAGTGTCTGTATAAATGTATTTAATTTTTTGTACAATTTGACAGCATTAAAAATATTTCAGCGTCAGACACAAAGTGTGGTGTTACAGAGGAGGAGTCCGCTCATCTCAGCACCCAGCAGCAGGGTGGCTTGAAGTGTGCCCTGTGGCTCTGTGCCTCTGTTTCCTTATCTGCACCATGGGGACGAGGACGTAACATCAGAGGGCTTCCAATACTCTGCAGGGCTGTCAGTACCAAGATGGTAAGTCCTCTGAAGAACCTCCTCTCTGAAAAGGGTCTCATCCTTCAAATCAGGCCTTTTCAAAACTGTACCAGTCAGTACGCACACAGTATGGTATGTATTATGTGTTACTAAGATGCTTCCTACAAAGTACTCTTGATAGTATTGGCAATGCAGCATCGCCTTCTAAAGTAAGTTGCAGTTGGGGTGGCTGGGTGGTTCAGTTGGTAGAACATGGAACTCTTGATCTTGGGATCATGAATTC